TCTTGGAGGTGGAAGCTAATAAATGCAACAGAACTGTATCTGTACTGTCTCGTGGAGTTCTTTGGGCTGAACCTGACAATTAGAACACACAGACTGACATACCTGAAAGATTCAAGGAATCTTGAATCAGTTTAGTATATTCTATTAATTTTTTCCTTCTGAATTTAATAAAATATTTAGATGTAAGTTGACCTAACTAATAATTTGTTCCTAGAATTTTTCTTGAGATAAGGATATTTGGAATAGTTTCTTTATTTAATTATTCTATTTATTCTAGCTCAGTTTTGCACAATGCCAATTATTTTATTTTTTATCAATAAAAAAATAGAAGTTGGGCTCTTTAGTGTTATATTACAACTATATTTACAAAAGTTTCACAGTAAAGTCTAATAATCCTACTAAACTGTTGTAAATTAAGGAATAGTTTATAGGCAAAAATGTTGTTGGTTAGCTGAGTTGAATACTTTTCATGGAATGTACTTATTTTGAGGATGATGTTTAATATCAGTCTTATGCAAACATTGTACTTATAACATAGTATACTTTTTGTTTATATTAGAGCAAGGACAAGATTGCCTCCTTCAGCAAAACTGCAAAAGTGGATAGGAGTGATGTGGGAAAGGAGATGAAAGAAAAATCTTCCATGAAACGTAAACTTCAGTTTAATGTTAGTCCATCCAGAAATGAAGATCGAAATTCAGATACAGGTAGAGCCCTTTTTGTTTTATTTTCTCTTTTCATCATGCTTCTGATTTTGTTAACGTTGGTTTGTCACAAAATATGAAAATTAATAGTGAAATATTTGCTTGTATCCCATTTTGTTAGCCATTAGTCCAGCAAACTGATTATCTTAAATCATAAGGGAACCTATTAAAACATTTCAGTTTGTACAATTCATAGCAACTCTACCTGCTATGCATCTGTTTTACAGTCAGCTTGATAGCAATATTTTGTGTGGGCATTCCTATTATGTATTCAAGTAAACACATACCCATACATGTCTATGATAAGCACAATTGCTTATTGTAAGTGATGTGTCGGTAGGGGAAGAGAATCAAATTGATAAAGAGCATGGGCAGATATTTTCTTGCAAATTAACTTATTGCTATGTAAACATAGAGGGCACAAATTTAAGCATCTTTAAATCCCACTTATTTAAAATATAGAATTAAATACATCTTTAAATTTCTCAGCTGAAAGAGCTTAAAATTTTCATTTGAACAGGCAGTGTACTAAAAAATGATGCAAATGTGCACTGCATTAATTAAATTACATATTACATTGTTTTAAAATGTCTAATGACCATGCTCTTTTAGAGTTTGTATTTTCTTTTCAGTGAACTATTAAGGATTTCTCCTTGATCCTTAAGATGTCTTAGTGCCTGCCTGATTTTTCAGCTATGTTAGTGTCTAAGGGAAAGTAGCAATATTTAACTTCAGTACAGTGCCATATCTTTACAAAAACACTTCTAAAGCACACTTGATTCCTTGTTGACTTAATTAATATGTAAAATGAGTCAAACACGTACATGTTATAGATCACAGAAAGCACTCCTCTATGGGATTATAACTCATTACAAAATAATGTGGTCTAAAAGGAGCTTCTCTGAGATAGTTTTTTTCATTGGTTCGTCTCCTCCTCTCCCTGCCCCCTCTGGTTCTCTAACACTAAATTGACAGTATAGGAAAAAATCACCAAGAAGCAATTATTCTTCAGAAAGCCATAGAATAAAACTATTCTGTTTATTCTAACAGTCACTCAAGAGTTATTTATACGAGTGAAATCCAGTAAGTTCGTTTTCATGGAGGGTTTCAAACAGCTTCCTTCAGAGGCACTAGGATCACCCATCTGTTTAAAGATACATTCATATCATTTTCTCAGGTTTCATTCTTCTGACAGTTTTATCTAGCCAGAAAAAACAAAATCAAGAACACAAGCAGTCAGTCTCACTCTCTAAACATTATGTTCTTATATTTAAATTTGCATACATGCTGAAAAGTTGGTTGGTTGGTTGATTGTTGACTTTTTGTATTCTTCTGGGTTACATTTTGCTGGAAGATTGCTTCTACATATTATCCTGTTTCCCGTGTAATTTAGCATTACACGGAGCTAGTAAAGATAATCTGGGGATTTATGCTGAGTATGATCAGTAAGATGATACTCAGCTTCTATTTCGTGATCCTAAAAGTAAGGATTTTGAATCAGCATGAATGAAAGTTTGGTGGTGTTTTGTTTTTGTTTTTTTTGATATGAGGACAATAAAAGTAAAGATTATTTAGACAGTTATGAATTGGGAGATTTGATGATTTAGAAGTATATGTTGTTTAAGGGTTCACATTTCCTTTGTGCAACAGGTTTTTAGAAATACTCCTAGTAATTTATTTATTTATATTTCACATTTATCACCGCCCATCTCACTGGAAGTGGCTGTGGGCGATTTACAGTAAAAGAATATTAATTAAAATACAATATAACAAAATTCCTACAAATAGTAAATATCTTCCAAGATATTGATGGTAAACTAAAAATTATTAGGCTCGGGGAGCATCTTCAAATCATCAGCCACTCCCAGGGTTGGTTATATCTCTTCTCGCCCCATGCAAGTTGGCAGAGCCAGGTCTTCAGTTCTTTCCGTAAAGCCGGGAGGGTGGGGGCCCACCTCACCTCTGGGGGGAGAATATTCCATAGGGCAGGGGGAACGGCAGAGAAGGATCTCCTCCTGGGCCCCACCAGTCAACATTCTCTTGCTGACAGCGTCCGCAACATAACCCCTCTTTCTCTTTCTCTCTGTATGTACGTGTGTGTGTGTGTATGTGTATGTCTGTGTGTGTACACACACA